AGCATGATCCTGAAGATGAGCCAGCGGAAGCTCCAGATGACAATCCTGGAAGGAGGAGAGCCCTGGGGCAGGCGGGACAGGCTCCAGAGGGGGCACAGGAATATTCCCAGGAATCCTGTCTCCAGGAGCTGTGATTCCCATCCTGCAGAGACAACGAGAAGTGAAGAAGGAAATAATTATGGTGAGAGTGCTGGGAGTTATCCTGGAATTAAATTTAAATGGAAGGATTAAAATAAAAACCACCTTGAATGCTTTTTTAAGGTTAATTTGGGGGAAATCTGGCACCAGCTGTCCTAAACCAGACATCCCACACAGGGGAATTCAGGGGTTTGAAGCTTTGGGGTTGTGTTGTTCTTCTCCAAGCACAAACAACATTATATTAATTATTATATTTATATTAATTATAAATTTATATATAATATAAATTAATATATATATTATATATTTTATTATATATATTATATCTATTATATTATATATATTATTAATATATATAATATATAAAATATAAGTTATATATATATTAATTTATTATCATTTATATTAATTTTATAAAAATTAATAACTTCTATGAAACAGAAAAAATGAGATTTAAGTGCCCTGGGAAGTGGCACAGGACAAGCAAGCAGTGCCACTGATTCCTCCAGTCACGGATGGATCCAGCAGTGCCATGGACTGGGGCTGGATTTTTGCCTAAATGGGGCAGTTTTAGCTTCAAAAATTAGTGATTAAGATCCCATTAGATCTTGTCACCATCAATATTCAGTGCAATGAGAAGCTCAGAATTTTAATCACAAAAAAAATCAAAATGGTACCAAAATCATCCATTAGGCCACTTTTACCAATTGCTGGATTTTACACATCCCTGGATTTAACCAAATTCCCCTGGACTGAGCCGAAAGCAGAGCCTTGAGATCCCACCATGAATCCATTCCCTGGATCCTCTGGAGCAGACAGACTCCACCTAATCCGTGCAAATCTGTATTTTGCATTTTCTCCTCCATCCCAGCCTACAAATATTGCAGTGATTATTCCGAGAGAGGCAGAACACACAGCTCTGTTTTGACAGGTGAAGTCCAACCCTCACCACGTCTGGAAGCACCAAATTATCCCTGCCAAAACTAAATCGCTGCAGCTTTGTCCCACCTCCAATTATTCTGATTCTCAGATATTTCTGCGTGACAGAATTGTTCTCTGAAACCATTTTAAAAAAAGACATTAAATGGCACATTGGTGAGGAGAATTCCTGAAAATTCCTTGGTGGAGCCATTAAGGCACCGAAATTCTCAGCTCTGTCAATTAAGCCAGGCAGTGTCCATGGCTCCAGTTCATTCCCAAGGTTTCTCCAGCATTTCACCAGTTTGATCCATAACAATTCCCTTCATCCAGCCCAAAGAAAACACATTCCAAACATATTCCAAACCCATTCCAGCTTCAGCCTGAGCCCCCTGATCCCCCACCCCAAGATTTTTCCAGCCCCTGATTTGAAGTTGCCACACAACAAAAACCACTTTGAATTTGCTTGAAAATATTTCCAATAAGAGTCGTGAAACCTCCTTTTTTAAAATCTTAATCTGCAAAAACCCCTTAAAATCAAAATGCAATTTTAAAAACTCAGATTCTTGCACATCAAAGCCATTTAAAACTGCCCCTCCTCCCTGCTCACAGCACAGCCCTCCCAGATGCCCAAATTAATGGTTCTGGAAGGAGAAGCAAGGAATATTGTCCCAAAAAGCAGCTGCAGCAGGAAAGCACCGGCTCATCCCAAAAGTGAAAGGTTAATTGTGCCTGAACCCAGCTCCGGGGCTGACTGGCACCAAAAGGGTCGTAGATCTCCCTCATTCCTGCCAGCACAAGAATCCCACTGTTATCCCTGTTTTCATATGGAAATCACCACCCTGCCCCGCTGGGGATGGGTGTCGGGGTGGGATCCAGACTCCTGCATCCCCTCGGAGAGCAGCACTGCCCTCACCCAGCAGGGCACAGCAGCAGCGTTCCCTCGTTCCCTGCTCTGTTTGTCACCCCAGTTCCCAGCCAGGGGCACAGAAGGACGCTGGCATCCTGCAGGACAATTCCCGCACATCCAGGAGGATGCTCCCAGCACCGAGCCAAGCCAAGCCTTCCTGGCATGGCCTCGACCACGAGTTCAGCCCTGCACCTGTGCTTTTATCCCAAAGGGATGCCAGGGCTGGAATCCTGGCACCAGCTGGCACAGCAGGATGGAGCCGTGCCGGGCGCAGCACGGAGTAAACAGCGCTGCCAGCTGCCGGGCACAGCCCTGGCACCCCCGGCTGCTCTGCAGCTAAACCAGCCCCAAGCTGGGCTCAACTGCCCCTGCAGACAAGGACAGACTCTGCTCACAGGCTGGCACAGCAGGCTGGGCCCCAAAATGTGCCCAGTTTGGGGTTAAACGCTGCCCAGCTCTGGCTGCTCCCCAGTGAGGGCATGTGGGGCTCTGCTCCTGCCTCAAGGTCCTGCTAAAACCAGGTTCAGGGCAGAGGAGCTGGGAGAGGCTCTGATTTATTCACAAACCCTTCCTGAGGGATGGAGCCTTCACGGCTGCCCAGGTGGGATCGGTTTTCTGGGATCCATCACCCACTGTGCTTCTTCCCAGCCTCCATCCATCCATCCATCCATCCATCCATCCATCCTCACCCTGGACCTCTCTGGCCTCTTCCTTCCAGCACAGATTCATCCTGACCATAATCTGCCATTCCTAGAAAAATGTTAAGCTTGGAGAAGGCCTCCAAGACCCCCAAGCCCACTCCTCTCTCAGGCTTTGTCTCGTGCAAACAAACTGCTGCTGGATGCTGCTCCGTGGCCACTGGAAGTGCTGGGGGTGCTGGGATTATCCCAGAGGCTCCTGTGCTGTGGTTTCTATAAAAATTCCAGCTCAATCGGGAAGATTTGAGGAGATGAACGTGTTGAACAGCACAAGTGAATCCACAGCTCAGTGCACGAGGGGGGAGCTGGGCTCAGCTCACCCTCCCTGGGCTGTAAAACGATACCAGGCCCAAGATTACCAAATCCATCAGTAGAACCTCCCGTTCCTCCCCGCTGACTCACACACAGTTGTTCACATCTGCCCTGGAAGCCTCAGACTCCAAATCCTTCAGATTCTTAGACAGCTCTGAGGCTGGAGCCAGTCCCTGCTGAGGTTGGAGCGTTGTCACCTCTGAACACCACTCAGGGGCTCACAGAGCCCAAACCCACTGGGACACCTGGGGGGCTCAGCCAGGTCACCCCACCTGAGGGGCAGCTGGTTCCTCACTGACCTTCCCAGCTCAGTAATTCCAGGATTTCTCCAGGGTTCCTCACTCACCCCAGGATTTCTCTCCTGGTTTTTGGGATAATTTGGGTTGGAAGGGACCTCAAAGCCCATCCAGTGCCACCCCTGCCATGGCAGGGACACCTTCCACTGTCCCAGGCTGCTCCAAGCCCTGTCCAGCCTGGCCCCACTTTGGGACGGAGGGATGGGAAGGCAGATATTGGAACTTCAGGACATTGGGAGCTTCAGGAGCATCCACATGGAAGCCATGGAGCATCCCAGAACCAGTGAATAATCTGGGAATGAAGGGAGCACAGTCTCCAGTAACATTCCCCAATCCTGCAGTTTAGGGGGTGAAACCCATCCCACAAACAGCAGCAAACCCCATCAGGGCTCTCTCCAAGAGACAAATCCCATCCTCCAAGCCCAACCAACACATCCTTATTCCAGGGCTCACTGATACTGCTGGGAACGAAAGGGTCACGTTGTTGACCCACCTGCTCCTGTTTTCCTCACTTGGATCTCGTCAAATTTCAGCAGCTGCAGGGCAGCACAAAGCCCCCCATTGTTATCTCTGGCGCAGCCGGAGAGGGAGCCACGGGCTGGGTTTTTTCGGGGGGGAAAAAAAAAGGGAATAAAACCAACGTCCGATGGCGGCTGCGCCCGCCCCACACGCGCTCCGAGGGCTCGGGACACGCTCGGAACTCGGCGTGGCAAAATCCATGGTCTGGGATTTTCCAGAGGTCTCTGCTGGGGCAGGGGAGGAGCAGGAGGAGGTGCTGGAAGGGAGGAGGGAAGGGAAGAAGCAAACCCCAAACCTAAATACGCTTTTCCCTACTCCTTTTAGGGTTTTCAAGTGTTTTGCCTCTTCCAAACGCTCCGGCCCCTCGTGCAATGGAGGGTTTGTATTTGTAGCTTGACATCAAGTGATGTCCCATTTTCATCTTTATTATTTGCCATAAATAAATTCACCATCCCAAGTTAGCACAGCCTGGCCATGGCTGCAGAGGGGTCTCCTCATCCCAAACCTGTTTGTTGGACAATCAGGGAGAAAGCAGTGAGGGAGGGAAGGGCTGAAAGCCTTCAGAAGATAAAAACTAGGCTCAAGAAAAATGAATTTTCTTATTTTCTAGTTTTCTGATTCAAAAATATCACCTGGCCAAAATCAACCCTCATACCTGGCTATGCTAGAAAGAGCTCACATAATTAATTCTTATTAATTCCCCTTCCTAAAGCGCAGGATAAGGTGCAAACAGCCAATTGTTTCTCTTTGTACAGCAACACCCACACATCAGATTTACCCAGAGCACGTCTGCACGGCACAGACAAATGCTGCTCCAACAGATCCAGATTCCCCAGCTCCCAGCGCAGCTGTCTCCCTGTGGATATTGTGTGTCAGACAGCCCAGCAGCCAAGGGGAGGCAGATATCCAATCCACACTGATTTCCCTGGAATCAGACCTGCTTCCAAGCCCACCTCCCTGAAACCCAGCGTGGTTTATTTGGTTTCAGCTCGAGCCTAAAGCACCTGTTGGGAATATCTGAGCTGTGCTGCAGGACCAGGGATTTATCATGGACTTCTCCTGGTTTGGGGGTGACTTTAAATCCCAAATGACATTTTGGGATTGAACCTCCCCAGGTTGCAGCACCCACAGCCCTCCAGCCCAATAAACCCAAGATCTGACCCAGCTTCCCACATCCTCAACCGCCATTATGAAATATTTCCCATTTCTTGTTCAAAGTCACCTCAGCCTAGGGATACTTCACATTTCTGCAGCCACCAGAAAAAGTTCTGGCTGTTGTTGGAAGATTTGGGAGAACGTCAGCAGGAACTTTTGTACTTAAAGTATAAACTACCCAGAAAAAAAAAATAAA